ATCCCTGGAAACCTTCAAGGTCAGGTTGGACGGGGCTCTGAGCAACCTGATTTAGTTGAAGATGTCCCTGCCCATGGCAGGGGGGTTGGACTAGATGACCTTTAAAGGTCCCTTCCAACTCAAACTATTCTATGATTCTATGATTAATAAAAAAATGCCTGTGCCAGGTTCCAAACAAAATAAAATTGTATTTTTGTATAAAACAAGCCACAGAATTTCCCCAATCCTCCATTTTAGGAAAACTTAGTGCAGCACATGAAGTTCATCTTCAGCATAGCCCTTTACTTCAGTGGAAGACTCCACCCCTGGTGCTTGCTCCCGTTGCAGGGCTTGGTAGCACGCTTTGACTGTGTGTTTGGGTAGTGGGTGAGCTCTATCTACGCTTCTCCGTTTAAAAAGTTGTTGGTGTATTTACTGAACTTCAGCCTCAGTTTAAAATACAGTCTAAGCACTTCAGTGTCAATAATTTGCTTGCATTTCAATTGCTATGAAGAGTCAGAGGTACAGAGAGAGCGAGAGAAAGTTGTGTGTCAGGGCAGCCTGTGCAGCATATATGCTCTCTGACTCTGCATGCTGATTTCTCTAAAATGAATAAAGGGACAAGACATTTGATTATGGGGATTTCTGTTTAATCTGCTTGTTAAATTTGGTATGTGAAATTAAGCTCACTGTAGATCCAGGTTATCTGTTCGCTGGAGGAGATCAGTGTTCACTGGAACTGAGAGGAGAGAGGGACATGCTGGGTATGTCAGTGCATGGTAATGGGCTCTGGTTAAGGAAGGGCAGGTTTCAGCTGACCTCATTGTGTGTAAATCTTCAAGAGATGCTTGCTAAATTTGAAATACTGTGCTCAAATACCAGTAAAGATCTGGTTAAGCTTCTGGTAGCTATCAAACTCATTGATAAGGCTAAACCCGTGATGGAGTAGTTTGTAATTTTTCATTTCACAAGTATTGAAATAATTGGGCACATAATGATAGAGCCAAATATGTCTTTATGATCAGAACACTGAACTGAGTGGATTCGTAGCTTTAGGTAAAATTATTAAGGTGCTTGTTCCTTTTCTGATTCTAAGAAAAAGCAGAACCAGGCTGCTGGAAAGTGAGCACTGGGGGAGATACAAGTTACCTTTTTTGTCAGTCCATTTTATCTGCAAACAGCCCGACAGCAGAGTAATTACTTTGTGCAATTCTTCATCAGTTACTTGCACAACAAGCACTCTGCTGTCTGTGAAGTGAGTGGTCGCTCTGGTGCGAGGCAGTCAGGAATCACAGCTAACTCTGGTGATTGTGCAAATCCTTGAAAAAGAAGGAGCGTATATTATTCTTGAGACATTACCTATCTAAATCAGAAATTTGCAGACAAATAGGTGAAACTGCCCAATGATGAGTTCTTGCACTGCATTGGTGCACTTCTGAATCAGACTTTCCATCACAGGGTAAGAGACGTATCTCAGGGTAGGCTTGCATTTTCATCAAGTCTTTCCACAGGCAAGGGGAGGTGGAGGGAGGCTGTTGACAAAGGGTCTGCTTGGGGACCTAGAAAGGGATGTAGACCATTCATCATGGGACAGGCTCCTTCCTTTTTGTGGCTGGTGGGTGAGCCTGTCTGGAGAGTGCCCTGTGTGCAGGACAGGACTTGTCTTCACCAGGGCATCCAGGAGCACAAGGAGAAAGCCCGAGGAAGTTTTGATGATGGCTGTGCTTGGTTCAAGTGTTTGGCCTCCAAAATAGGAATTTTGGCATAGGAAAAGGATTATGGTGCTTCTCACAAAGGCAATACAGGTGTATGTTTGGTAGTCAGGAGCTGTGAAAGCTGTTTGTCAGTAAGACAGCCAGTAAGAGCCTTGTGTGGTATCGCAGTTCTCTGCTGATCCCCGCACATGATGAACTGACCCGATAAAGTCTTTAGCTAGTGCTCCTTTAACAACTAATGGCTTATATTTCATTTTGGAGTTCTTGGTTTTATTCCCAGCGCAGCAGGTATACTGCAAACTCATGAACTTAATGCGCACATAGTGTTTATGGCTTCAGACTGATAGCATGTCTTCTGAAAAGGTTTACTTTGAAAAGTGTTTGATGCTTATTCATGTGGCAGTGCAGTTGTTTCAGTTTATCAAACAAATACTGCTGCTGTTCTCAGTGTGTTATTTCCCAGTAGACTCTGGCGGCTCCTCCAGAGCCTTTGCAGTCTGTCATGGAAATGCACAGCTCGGGACACGCCGTGCAATTCCTCCTCAAAAGCAGTTACTGTGCATAATCAGATGCTTTACAATGTTTACTATTTCAAGCCACTTTGGAGTTTAAAAATCAAGGTAACTCAATAGCAGTGTATCAACATGCAAGGCATGGATATTTTCTGAATTAAGTTCCAAGTGTTAATGCTTTCCACGTTGCATAAATCTATTGAAAAAATGTTGAGCTATATAATGGATTAGCAGCATATTGAACTTTACATCCTAATGAATGCACTTTGGAGATGGAAGGCTAACAAAAGGCATCAAAATGACAAACATCAGTTTCTCACAGATGTAAGCACATATGGTAGTAATACCTTAAATGGTGCAGAGTGAGAGTACCACACTTTAAGTTGTGTTCACAGTTTCGGTAGTCTTTGTAATTCATGTGGAACTGCACTCTGTGATTGGTGCAATCTGATTGTTGTTAATTTTAATATTATTTTAGGTTAAAATTGTGGTCTGGGTTAAGTAAGGATTAAATTACAGAATGACCATAGAATCTCATCTTGTTTTCCCCAGGGGTATTACTCACAGAGAGAAAGCAGCAGAAATGTATATAACAGACACATGCATATTGCCTATCATTTTTAGTAATGGGCAATCCTGGGCTTTGCCCCGGACAATGTACCAGCCAGTATTTTGGCAACAGAAGATGTATGTTCTACTTTGTATGGCAGCGCTTGTACTGTTCGCACTTGATGTTCTTTTTCAGACAGAAGAGAAATTGTAACCCTGAAAATTATGCCTCTAGATCTCCTCCTGGGCCATAGTTCAATTTTATTTATCACTGTCTGGTTAACCAAAGAGTTTTGGGACATATAATGTGTAGGATGTTGGAAAATTATAACATAATTTCAACTTTTATTTTAAAGCTTTGGAGTATCCAAACCTTGATGTCTCAGAGTCAACTAGAGACTACTGGGTGATAACAGGTACTTTTTAATCTCCTTCCCTCCTCCAGGCACTTCAGATAATAATTTTTAGTGCTCGATTATATAAACACATTGGTGCAGTAATTTTACACAGAAATAAGTGGCTGCCCACTGAACCTGCCTGTTGCATTCAACTGGGCAAATGTATTTAGAGTTACTCTGGGACATAACTGTGATTTGTCATCTTAAACAGAGACATCTCCTGCGTCCAACACTCACCTCAGAATTTATGGTACTTTGGTTTAAGCACTTCTGAGAGCAGCATTATCTTCTCAGAGTTTATAATCACAAAAAGGCTTCTCTTTTTTTTTTCCTGGGACTTGGATTTAAATCTGAAATCGAGAGAGGCTTGCAGACATAACCCAGGAAGAAAGGTGATCTGTTAAACCGACAGACTGACTCTGTCTGGGTCCAGGAATTTTTGTATCTTTCACCGGAAGCATTAAGCACATAACTTTCTGTTGGTGGAAAAGAAGGTGCAGAGAATGCTGTTAGGCTTCAAAATACTTGTTTGATCACAGTCATTTCACTGGTATCACATTCTCATTCACAATCATTTTGACTTTAGAAGTGGTAACTGGGCAGGAAAGAGACCCTTTCCCCCAGACATCTTCAAGTGAGTAGATACCAAAGCCTTTCTAATTGGTGTGTCTGTAGCTGGAATTGTTTGATGCTCAGGAGAGCAAGAGAAAAGGAGCCTGACGTGAAATGGATTAAATTCTACGCTTTGCTTTCAAAAGCCGGTGTGGTTTGGTGCCCGTTATATCTATTCATAATTTTGAGATAAAAAATAAGTTTATGCAGAGATTATGATCCTCTGAAGGGAGTGGTACGGCTCCACCCCATCTGGACCCCATGAACCTGATACTCCCTTTCTTGCCTTTGTGCACTTACTGCAATGGAGTATTATTGATAACAATGGAAATGTTGTTTTCAAAAAAATCATGACGGTCCCAAAAGATTTTTTTTAAATAATATTGAAAAATCATACATTTGCATGAATTAAATTAGCATACCATATCATTTATTTGAACTTTATGTAAATTCCGTGTCGTTTATAATTTTACATTAATTTTTACTTAGGAAATGTTTATTCAGTTTTCAGTGCTCTCAAACATATAGTGTTTTGTTTCAAACCGAGTTGTACAAAATTCTAACTTCTGATTTCAAAACTGCTGGACAAAAAGCTGTTGTTCAGTTAACAAGAGCATCTGGCGATAAGCACAAAAACTGGCAGCTCTCGAATAGGTTTTCACTTACTTTTTACGTTGAAGATCATAGATTAGGTCCTTCCCGGAGCCATTTTGGTAAACTGAAGGCCTAAGAAAGTTTTTTGGAGGATTTTATTCTCTGAAACATCGTTGACATTATCTGAGAAGAACAGTGCAGGGGTTGAAACAGAAGCATGTTATATCCTCATTGGGAATTATTGAGGGGGTGTAACAGCGTCCAGTTATTTTTCTTCTAAGCTAGTTAGTACACCCCTGTCCCAAACTGCCCTGCAGACCACGTATTACTTAATCTGTCCATCTAAAATGTGCTGGTATGTGATTTTCTCCATTCCCACAGTTATTCAAGGGGTTGATATTGCATTACTGGGACTGAACAATCAGAGCTTTGCAAGATTAATGGAGCAGCGTTTGGCCCCGCTGTTTATGATGTCCCATCAGCAAGGAAGACGATTCAAACGTGCCACTACTGTGGGCAGCTACACTGTGCAGGTGGTCAATGCGACAGCGGTTGCGCCTAGATATGTGTTGAAAAAAGGGCTTTGTTTGCATGTGTACTGCCTCAATGTGTGTGAAAAACTGTTTTACTGGGTTGAGATTTCCTGTCTTTTTCATGAATACCAAAGCAGCGAGTGCAAGATGTGTGGCGTTACTAATGGGTTTCTTTTTCTGCAGTCAGTCATGTTTGCATGCCTCTCATCTTCTAGAAATTGTCATTAGTTAATCAGTGTTAATAAACGTTTTCTCTTTGTTTGCTATGAGGATTGGTGCAAAGTACCTATTTTAGTGTAAAGTCTTGTATTCAGCATAATGAAGAGTTCCAGGCTTTTGTTCTTAAGTGAAAAAAAGTTTCCTAGGTCTTCATTTCCTGGGTAACTCAATAAAGCTAGAACTTTTTTCTTTTTGTTGGGAAAAAAAAAGTCTGAAGCAGTCTTTATACAGGGTTAGTCATCAAATCACGTGGCCACAGATCACATTATGAAATAGAGATTTCAGTCCTGAGTAATTTATTTAATCATCTTTCTCTTATTTAGCAACATTTCCCATTCAGTTTTTTGAAATGATCTTATTTTGTTTTCTCAGTACTTTAGCCAACTGATGGTGGTTGTCAGGGATTCAAAGAGGATCTGTCTTCAAAAATTGCATGACAAGTTATTGCCTTTTTTTTAATTGCATGATGTTTTTCAAGAATTGTTTGTTGTGAGATATAAAAACAAATTACTACTTTTTTCGTTTGCCCACAATTCTGTGTGTTTTCCCACTGAAAGTATTTAAAAGAAGGAACACGTTTTTACTTGCCAAAAGCGTGAACCTTTGTAAAATTTTCCATGAAAACATTACAGATTTTTAGACCATAACATAATGGAGAAGAACCACAAGACTCCTTTTTCCTCTCACCATTAGAGATGTTTGATACTTTCTCTACTGTCAGGAAAGGTACAGGTACAATGTAAAAATTCTGCTGGTGTTCTGCAGAATAAAATGGAAAAAGCATGGTTCTTTTTATTGTCAGTCTGGGATCAAAAACAATGAGTATAGAAATAAAATGTGAGGGAATTTTTCAACTGCAATATGCCAGCAAAGTATAATTTTCAATATTAGGACAGATTTTAAGAATTCCCTCTTTACAGAGGACTGTAATGTCCAAACATTTGATCCTTTCCCCCTTTTTACTGCATGCTTTTCTTAGTATAGGGTTTTACCTTAGGATTATGTTTAAAAATTTTTAAGAAGGTAATCGGTCCTCACTAATCTTAATAACCTAGGCTATGAAAAGGAGAAGCCCTAATCCTATGAGAATATTTGCATGGAGCTTATGCTTATACGGGGTCTTGAAGGAGTTCCCCCTGTGCACTGCCTTCAGGGAGCTTCTGGCAGGTTTTGCAATGGCATAATACAAACACACTTTATTTCTCTTTCTCTCATTTTCTTTTTTTTTCCTGAAAGATGGTAAAAATCCAACGTATTCCAGGACCCAAGGAGCCGGCTGAACTGACATACTACACTTTATACAATGGGAAACCTTTGCTGGGCACTGCAGCTGCCAAAATTTTGAGTACCGTTGACTCCCAGCGGATGGCCTTGACATTAGGTTATGTTATTCAAGTTCAAGCTGATCGTAAGAGTTCTTTTAAAAATTCTCTGTTTTAGTCCTTTTTTTCTTCCTCCCCGCTCCCCTCCCCCCCGCCCCTTCTTTCTTTGTCCCCCCCCCCCCGCCCCTTCTTTCTTTGTGAAAACAGCAGTGTAGGTGTGTAGGTGTGGGGAGCCTCCACTGATCACACAGAGAAATATCAGCTGCACCTTTCTGAGCAGCTGCTTAAGTCAGGCTGCTCTTTTTCATATGGAAGACAGACTAATATTTTATCGTAGTAAATCAAAGCCATATACAGACTGTTATTTAGCCAATCACTGTAAACTCTTACTGTACAATTAATTTTATACACATACAGTTCTATGAACTGAACAACTTTATGGAACTTTACATAAAGTCAGAATTAATTCTGATGCTAATGAAACTATGACACCACAGGCTAATGACTGCTGGGGCAAAACTGCTATTCAAATAACTTAGCCCAAAGTAAAATGTGGGGATTATCAAGATGCCTCTTATTTTTGACTTGTTCAAAATAATGTAGATATTTCTATCTTCAAAGGGATTATTTTTTTTTTGAATAATCATTTTCACCAAGAACTCTGTAAAATGCACCACACAGTTGTTAAAGATATTGTTTAGACACAAATAAAAAAAATGAAGTTGGACAGAACTACTTATGTGTATGGGCAATTTTCCGATTCAAGATATGGTGGCATCATTCAGAATAATGTGGCCAAAAAGTAATACATTCTTGAAAAGTAGTGTTTGAATTTCTCTTTTAAGACTTGCATCAGTTACTGAGTGATTGTGGGCACAGGTGTTTTCTTAAAAAAAAATTTTTTTTTTTTATATTCCTGTATAGTTGACCCACAGTCATAAAGCTGTGGTGGAGCTTGGAGGGTTTTTTGCGCAATAACAGCTTAATGTATGAATCGATGCCTTTAGCTAACCGAATCTTTCCACTTTGCCAAGGTATTTAACCAGATGGAATTAAAATTATATAGTGGATTTCTGTACTGGATCTCCTTACTGGCTAAACAGCATATAAAATGGGACTCCCTGGTGCCATTATTTCTGCGTGAAGGAGCAGTGATATTGAAATAATTACATGTCATGGTGATAGGAAAAGAAGGAACCACTGTAATAAGTAATTGACGTATCATCCATAAACATATGATTGAGTTAGAATAATAAAGGATGATATAATTTCCAGAGAATGCACTATATACTGTACCTGATCCTTAATTTGATCGTGGTCTGTTACTGACTTTAATTGGACTAAACCCAGGGATCTCCATTTCTGCTTCCATAAAGTCTAGTATTTAAATTCTGAACAACTTTGTTTTCCATGAGAATATGTCTTTAATGTAATTTTTGCTAAAGCAGCTATAGATAATACATAGCAGTTTCCTAGCTCTTTGTGCAGTTTTGTAATTTATATGGGTGTTTAGGTAGTTATATGTCATCTGCTGCTCATGATCTAACTTTGTGCTTCCATGGTCTGATAAGGCGGCCTTGTGGTCTGTAGACTTTCATACAAGTTAAATATTCACAGAATACTGTAAGAAGAGAATATACAGAAATTGAAAATATGACCCTGGGTAACTGAGATTCTGAAGCTAGAGTATTTTAAATGTAGGAGATAGTTCTATCTTTATACCTTATTACAGAAAAAATCCATTTCTTTCATTTTGGACATGGTATTTGTAGTCTCTCTTTGTATTCCCAAAGAAAATACTTTGTGTGCACTTCATTTTTACTCATTATAATTGACTTTCAAAAAAGTTAAATATTCACAGAATACTGTAAGAAGAGAATATACAGAAATTGAAAATATGACCCTGGGTAACTGAGATTCTGAAGCTAGAGTATTTTAAATGTAGGAGATAGTTCTATCTTTATACCTTATTACAGAAAAAATCCATTTCTTTCATTTTGGACATGGTATTTGTAGTCTCTCTTTGTATTCCCAAAGAAAATACTTTGTGTGCACTTCATTTTTACTCATTATAATTTCTGTTATAGCAGAATGAAAAGTTCTGTACCAAAATGGAGTAAGAAAAGACATCTACCCTCAGGAGCTCACAGTCTGGTTAGACAAGACAGATGAATAATAACAAAAAATATGGATGTTCCTGTTTTATAAGTGAGGGACTGAGTTATAGCAAAATGAAAGGTTTGTTTCAAAATCCACTGAAGTCTTATTGAGTTGAATGAACCATGGATTGACTTATTCAAGGTCACATTGGAAGCTGGTAACAGAATTAAAGATGTAAACCAGGATTCCTAAATGTCTGTCCTATTAGCCATAAGGTCATCGTTTCCTCTGCGTTCCCTAGAAAGAATAATTATAATTTTTCAGCAATTGTTTGCTGCTCCCACAACAGCAAGCTATAATTATAATTACTGTTATCTGATAAAACTCAGATTCAGTTTCCTTCCCCACAGCCCTTTAATCCCCAAACTAAATGTCCAAAGTCAATAATTGAGAATTATGCAAGTCCACTGAAAAGCGAACCCTGAAAGGCTTCAACCTGGCTTTTTGGACAGTCTTTAAGCATGCGGTTACCGTTACACTGTGCACAAGATATGTACCTAATGGTGCTGTTCCTACATCACCCAACAAACTACATTGGCTTTGCAAAAAGTTGTAGAACTACAACGAAAATAGGCTCAAGCTTCAGACAGACTTTCAGCTGGCTTTTGTAACTGCTGCTGAACAAGATGGTATGCATTTGAAGTCTGATCCTGAAAGATGCTGAGTGCCTCTGACAGCTAATAAGCTCAACGACATTTGAAAGCGCTAGTCCCCTAGGAAATGGGAATGGCTGCTTTATGCTGGTATTCTCACAATTGCCTGTCCACGCCAGCAACCAGTGGCATAAGAAAATAAATAGGGATCGCATGGTGAAGTCCACAAAATATTTCACTAAAACAAAATTCAGCATCATAAGGAGATTATGTGGTGTTTTTCCAGAAAGAAATGAAATGAGAGAACCGGGGATGTGTCACAGGAGGATCTCTTATGTGTGTACAAGTTGAAGTTTCATACTAAGAGACGTTATTCTGATAAAACGGAATCTAAAACATTTTAGCATCACTGCATTTCTGAAATGTACCCTTTTCCTGGTGCCATTATTAATATATCTGCAAGTAGCTCTTTCCGATCTCATCACTTCTCCTCCTTCAGAAATGATGGATTCATTTTGACCTTAACTATGATAAAGTATTTCTAGAGCACAAGAGAAGCATTTTCTTATTGCCCTATTGATATCAACAGTAACTATTAGCATGCTTAGCTTCATTGTTTTTGAAAAAAACTCACTCTCTGAGTTTTGCTCTTGCTGAGCCAGTAAGTCTTTGACACCAGGTACGGACTCCGTGTGTATACTTTTAATACACATGCTACCTTACTATAAGCTGGTTTTGTGTTTGAAAAATAATTAAGGATGTATTAATTTCACACTTTTTTGTTTATTCTGTAAACGAACCATTGGAGTGATATCTAACGTGGCATCTAATTTGACTTGGGAGTTGATGGCTGCTTTTGCAGCTGGCTATAACTAAGTAAGAGGAGAGTCCAGGGATTTGTGAATTGAAGTGTGTTGCTGATTCATTTCATTTACTTAAGGAGTACAAAGGTATAGCTAGATTACTAACAGTCCTTTTGTACCAGTTATTATATGGAGACAGTTGAAGACTGTGTTGGAAGCAATTTAAATCTTGCGATTGCACAGTGAAACTTACCAGTGTTGGTTTGCAATTTTCTGTAGCTGTGGTGAAGAACCCCCCGAACAACCTGTGGATCATTGCAGCGGTGCTGGCTCCCATTGCTGTGGTTACGGTTATCATCATCATCATCACAGCGGTTCTGTGCAGAAAGAACAAGAACGACTTCAAACCAGACACCATGATGAACCTGCCTCAGAGAGCTAAAGTGAGTGCAGATCCAAGACGTCCATTTGCTTTCTGAGGCTTTAACTGTGTTTCTCTGCTAGATGTAGCTGAAGGACGTTTGGAATTGAAATGGTTGTTACTCACAGGTTGGATCTTTGCACTTCTCTGTCCTTGATACCACCAGTCGCAGCAATTACCCTTCTATTTTACTCAGGACTCACCAACTTCCTTCACAGCTCGTCCCTTGCTGCATAGGTAGCAGTGACAGAATAACCCTTACGCAGTGATGTAAGGCACTGAGCCATTAGGGCTGAGTAGGCTTTACTCAGGGCAGTTGCTTCCTTCATAAAGTTGAGGAAAAGGGATATCACGCCTAGGCTTCGTCAGCAGCACGTCTCCATAGGACCTCACCCACGGCCTGAGCTGCTCCTACCTACTGCGAGTGGCAATGGCTGAAGCTCCGGGCTTTGGCAGCAGTTCAGACCTGGCCTTAACCAGAAATTCTCCATCCAACTGCTAATTCAGAAAAGACATTCTTTGAATTTTTTTCAGAAAATTTCTCCCACTGCTATTTTTCTTTTAGATGTTTTGAAGCGTAGTGGAAAAAAGTCTGCCTTCTCAGTGCTGCTATTAAATGGCTCTTAAACAGGGCCACCCAAAGTTAGGAGTTGTTAGCCTACAAAGCGTGTGTGTAAATCATACTGTTCCTTCGCCCTTTTAGCTGGCTTTGTTCTTCTCCACTGGCATGGGATTGAAATGATAATTCTTTTCATTGGTTTCTTCATGCTACAGACAGCAGGATTATCGTGATTTCAGCTCTGTTGCTTCTGCTGAAAAATGTAGATTGGAGGGAGAGTTGAAGGAAGGCATGATGCATATGACAGCTCTTTTCTCCTCATCTTAGGTTAGTTGCAGATGGGTGCAGCTGGTGCCGGCTGAAAAAAGACATTTGTATCAAAAATGATACAAAAAAGACATTTCCATTTCGGTTCCAGCATGCTCATCTATTTATCCGGTGTTACCAAACTAGTGTTAAGACTAGATCTGCAAAAGTGAAACAAGCAATATCATGGACACAAACAAAAATTAATACCACTGCAGTGATATAATATAATGTCCCATTTAAACCTCTAAAATGCAAATCATGCTTTATTAGGGGCTGTTGCACCACTTGATTCTTCTTATATGCAATTTAGTCCCAGCTAAAGAACAAAGTGAGACTAAATTTGTACATTGTTTTGAGCTGGCCATCATTATGGGATGCTTTACAGCTGAAGAAAAAAAAAAAAAAAAGACTGCTGGTTGAAGCCACAGCACAGAAAAAACTTGGAAGCATTTTAATATTCCATAACTGTCATTCCAAAAAGTAAGAGAAAGTAGAATTTTTACTTTTCCTGAAAAATCAGATTTAATCAGGCTGTAAGATACGTGGTCAGGTTAAAACCTATTCCATCAGGTTACGTTTGTATCAGCAGCCAATGTGGTCAGACAAGAGTTGGACCTGCAGAACAAAACAATTGGTGCTGAGCTCCCAGCATCCGCACTACACTCGCTTCAGGAGATTTTCCTGCAGACTTGCTCACATTTGCAACTGGAGCGCAGTAGTCCACTTCTAGAGTGCATTTCCCCTTTTTGGGTATATTTTGAGACTCCATAAAATTTAATTTAATTCATTCTATAAAAAGTGATGCATTTCAAAACTAAAGCTAAATTGATTTCTGCTTAGTTTCACAATGATGGCTCCATCAGAAAGGTTTGGCCAGGTCTAGTTTAGCGTATATGCTGGTATATGGACCATGGAGGATAAATTCTGCAGCGGGATTGGGAATGGACTGGTTTTGTCATTCCTGATTTCAGCATCTTTACTTAAAATAAGGCTAAGAAATATATTTTGGGAAGATAATGAAACAAGGTCATTTTGAAAAGAACAGTTTTATTTTTATTTTTACGTTCAGCATTAGGGATATCAGGAATAGTGGTAATCACTTGAACTGTAATTGCTACATTTCATGCAGTTTGGCAATACAAATAGCTGATGAGCACATATCTATATCACATTTAAAATGAATATATTATATTTCATGGCTTAGAAAAGTGCTCGGGACTGCTTGATTAATGCTGAATCTGTTCTGTAAGTGGAGTCACAGCAGAGTGATTTTTAGTTTAAGAAGCAGCGTTAATATTTTGTTTCTGTGTGTCTGAGATTTGCTGTTGAATCACTGGAGCAATTTTTTGATACCTTTTGAATATCCAGCAAGCAGTATAAAGAGGAAAAGAGAATATTATAGGGTACCCACAACCTTGGATTTCAGCTGGTTTGTTTCCAGTGGTGCCATTTTATGTGTTTGGATTTCAAAAGTCCTGTACCAAGGGGACTGGCAGAGCAGAACTGCCTGTTCATCGCTGCAGTCCTATTGCTGCTGGGAGCAGTGGGAGGCTGCAGGTCCTCGCAGAGCAGAGCTGCCTGCCATGTCCCTCCAGAGGCTCCGTCCCGTGCCAGTGGGATAGGATGCACGAACACAGCACGGAGGGGTAATGAAACATTTAGTGATAAATATCCTTCTGTAGCCGGGGGAGGTGATGTAACATAACAGCAGGACTGCTGCCTGTGCCTGGTAATTAAGGAATGACTTTGTTGTTGTAACAGACTGAAGGCTAAATAAATGAAGTTTAAAAAATGACCTCTCATACGTAGTGTAGTTTACAGTATCTCTCTCAGGAATTGTGTTGCTGTTCTGAATTGCCTCAGCAGTCAGGGACATCTGGACTAAGTTGCAGGGAAAAGGGACTGTTACCATTTTTTTCAATTGACTCTCCAGTTGTAAAATTAAAAGAAGTATAAATTCAAATTGGTGAAATTCTGATTGGAATTTATTTTAATGTTCTTTCAATGCTGTTTTTATTCTGAGGTACTGTTTTTATGTTAAGGTTTTGGATAGATGTTAGTTTTTTACCTCTCTTGCTTTCTAATTCACAGCATGCTTTTTTAAAGGCTGTAATCTGATTTGTCACCTTTCCTTTCCTTTAGAGCATGAAAGAATAAGCTTGCAGGTAAACAGAGATAAGATCTACAGTCTAAGACCAGCGAGCAAAAGCAAATACTGCAGGCCATGAGAAAACAACCACTATCAGTTTGATAAAGGGCATGGAAAAAAAAAAAAAGATTAGAGAAACTGTCTGTGTACATGGGTATATATGTAGAGGGGAGGGGCTGATCATCCTTTTTTCTTTTTTCTTTATTTTTTTCTTCTTTTCTTCCTTTTTTTAAAAATACCAATGTCTTTTTTTCACGATCATTACAAGGAAAAAAATCCCAGAAACAACTCCTTATATTCAATCTGCCCTTTGCCAGGCAATGTAATTTAATGGTCTCATCATTCATTTATTATTTCAAAAGCAATATTCAAGTCCCAGTCCTTCGGTCTTTCTCAGTATTGTGGCTGTATTGGACATCTATGCTTGCAGTGCTTCAGCAGTGCCTGATCGTGATTTAGTCTTGCCAGTTCCCTTCAGGGGTGGTAAAGCCATCTGCTCCTGTGGGGTTTTACAGAGCAGGGTTCCAAGATCAAATTTTATTTAACGCAGTATGTCTGCTGATGAGGATGGCTTTTTCAGCTCTTCCTTTAATGCAGTTTGTTACTAGACATGGTGGTAAGTAGAACTCAGATTAAAATAATCCTTCATTTTCTTCCTTTGGCAGATCCGAACTGGGAGTCTGCAGAGTTCTTTAGTAATTCTCACGCTCTGCTTCTTCTGGTTTTGGGGTTTTTTTTTTGGTGGTTGTTGTTGTTGTTATTTATTTATTTAGTTATTTATTTACTTAAAAAATAAGATATGAAGTATAAGTTGTAACAACTTCTACTCTTTCAAAGGCATGGAAGGAGAAATAGCCAATTTAATCAGCTGTTCTCTTTTGTTACCTTTTTTGCAGAATATCTAGGAGGGTCTTGACTAACACAATATAGATAATAAGGTTGAAAAAACATTATTTTGGTTAAAAATATTATTGTCTAGGATGGTGTGCAGTAGTTCTTCCTAGCTGTCCTTCACACAGCTTCTACTTCCCCTTTCTTCATTCCCTCCCCTTTTTTCGTTTCCTCCCTTCGTAGCTCATTTGGTGGCTGCTTTTGTGGTACCCTGCCTTAAGAGGAGGGCAAGCAGAAGCCTCTGTCAGGGGCAATATCGTCATGACTTGCCATGGGGTGGTGGTGGTGAATTGGCATTTCTCTGATATGTTGCAAGTTTCACCGTGGTAATGTGCGGAGACGTCTGGTCTCCCAAATCAGCATTAGCCCAGTTAGCGTCTCCTTAATGCACTGGAGCTACTTATCAAAGGAATACTGAAGTACGTAAGCACATTAGAAATCATCAGCCTCAGTTCAAACAGGAGATTGGGAATGCGATGTACATCCCCATAAACAAAAAGCACGTTTTGTTTTGTCTTAGAAAATAGAAGACAGCCCTGTTTTTTTCAGACTGAGATCGCCTGTGAAATTTATCTGTATTTATAGCTATAGCCCAGATTTAGTAAGGGACAGAACAAGAGAAAATGGTTTTTCAGAGCTCATCCTTTTTCTGTGCCATCAGCAAATTTGTTTTATCCGGCTGATTTTCTTCCACTGCTAAAATATTCAATGACAACATGACAGGAACCTGACAGAGACTATTCAGTTATTAACTGTCTAATTCTGATGTGTTTCCCAAAAGTACGTTTGAGGGTTAAAATCACCATTGCTCACCTTTGAAGTGTTTTATGGTGCTTTTTCAGCATTCTGTCAATAGTCTTTGTACTTCAGGAAGTGCATCCTTCCAGATTCTGTAAATTAATTCAATTTAACGTCGCAAGAACTTTTTTTTATGTTACATATTTTTTCCAGAGGTGGTGAGGAATTTCTTTGAGTGGGGTTTTTTTTTCCCCCCTTCTCTTTTTTTTTTCCCAATAGAAAATGCAGTTTGGAAAACTAAGTTTTGTTTAAATGCTTTAATTTTTCCATTAAGAGAATCCACCTTTCGGTAGCTGCTTTACCCAGAAGGCATGTGCCAGTTCTGCTTGTTCCTTGCAGAGGCAGCAGGGAAAGCCCGGCCGGGCTTTGGGGCAGGAGAGGCTGGGCACCTAGCCCTCGGCTGCCTTGCTGCAAGGCTTTTGTGAACGCCACTTCCCGAGAGAAACAAGTGAAGTCAATAGCAACCTTCCCAGTAGGCAACTGGCAAGCCAGGGGAAATATAACTTCACTGATCTGAAAAAGATCCTTTTCTGGAAAATGTTGCCCATGAAACTTTTATGTGTGCCTTTTTTACTTTGTCTTGATTTGGAATAAATTACTCCCACCCTCTTTGGAAAGACAAGATTTTTTTCGTAGAGAAAGTTCTCCATTTTCTGTATGGGCTTATTTTTCTTCCTCCTAATTTTTTCTTCCATATGTTCATTCTTCCATTTTCTGTTAAAGAAATTTCTGGGGGTGTTACGGTAGGGTAAGAAAGGTTAGCCAAGATCAATTTTATACTAACTAATCATGTTTAAAATATGTGGAATTGGAGATCTCGTCAGAAAATGGCTTTGTTGTTGGGCATTCATATGGCAATCTACATATTTTACCTGTCACTTATGTAATCAAAGAAGTTAAGAGGTAGTGGAAAATTTTATATTGAAGTGGAAATTTTATATTAACATATGATGCATGCTGGAAATTTCTTTTTTCTCTCTCTTTTTTTGCAGCCAGTACAAGGCTTTGACTATGCCAAGCAACACTTAGGTCAGCAGGGAGCTGAAGATGAGGTTTTACCTATAACTCAGGAGACCGTTGTACTTCCACTTCCAGTTAGAGATGCTCCTGCCTCCCAGGAGAGAGAAGTTACACAGGATGGGAGCACCATCAAAACTGCCAAATCCAATGAAACAAGGAAAAGGTACGGACTGGCATGTTTCCGCAGAGGGGTGGAATGGGGTACATGCTGCTGGTTGCTTAGGAAAAACCTGTAAGGTTTGGCACCTAGGCTCTGCATGTGGCAGATGGTTCCTCCGTGATATATTCTTGGCATAACACTGGTCTGCACTGGATGTGTAAGATTGCTGCAAAATACAAGATAAAATAAAGTGAAGTCTTCATAGATTGTACATGCATAGAGGAGGTAAATGGGAAGTGGCTCTCATATGCATGCTGGTGTTGTACAAGAGATGAACCCAAATGAAACATGGAATCTGGAGCATGAACACCGATCATTTCTCAAATGAACCAAAAGACAGGACCTCAGCCACTGTAAGTTGCTGTAGCTCCACTGACAGACTCTGTCACTTCAGAATTGGACCCAATGTCTTCATTAGCAAAAGGGCAAACCCTAAACATCCACTAAATTATGAAAGACCTCTAGATCCAAAGCATCTATAGCAGGACAAAACCTTTGAGAGTGTAAGAATAGACTAGATAACATCAGTGTCTAAGATAAATTGTCCCAGGTTTGCAGTTTCTTCATAGTAAGTCTACAGGGTTGTAGGATCACAGATTAGAAGGTCCCCAGGAAGCTGTCTTGCTCTTCCTCTTCTCCAGTGCAGGGTCAAATACACCCCTAACTCAACTTTATCTACCTTTTTTTAAACTTTTCCAGTGATGGAATGATCACAGCCTCCTCAAGCAATCTGTTCTTTGCTACCTTTCTGTTAGGAATTTTTACCTCATGTCTACCCTCAACCATCATCAGAATAGCTGAAGGTCATTCTTTCTTGTCTCGGTCATCTCAGGCAAGGAAAGCAGATTATCCCTTCATCCTAGCTGTTTTGCATGCTTCGAGTCCATTTTTCCTTGACCTGCTCTCCTTGAAATTAATTTAGAGTGGAGGATCATCAACTCTTTGTTGCTGAAGAATGATACGGAAGGGAACAGAGGAAAATAAAACTGTTAGGTAAACAGAGGTAACAGTTGTTGTCTAGTTCACTGGCATTACACAGTCCTTGCCTCTTGAAGGGACTCGATAAAATAAAAGAAGAGTATCTGGCTAGTGCCAAGAAATTGTATAGAAAATCAAATCTTCATAGCTGAGTCACCTCATCTTGTACTTGTCAATGCACACTGATATTTGCCCCTTTGGAGCAATGGAAAAGCTTGGAAAACTCAGCACAGTATTGCTGTATGCTGTGACAGGGACGCACTGGAGCCACCTGCAGCCGCGGGCGGTGCCGCGCTGGAAGGTGTCAGCCCGCACGGCTTCATGGCGGGTAGACCTCCCCATTGGTCATAAGCTGAGGTTTTCCCTACAGAAAAATGGAAACAGAAGGATCCTGAGGTGGTGTCTAGTTTGGCATGCTTCTCTGGCTGTATGGTAAATCACCTGGAACACAGAGAGAGCTGTCTGCAGGGAGTACGAATAGAGAAGAGTAAGCCAGCTGAGAACTCCCCTGGTTCCTGCGATAGCTTCGCTGGGTTTGGGTGTAAACTGTTATTATGCCCTTTAATGTCAGCAATGTGGTGTTCACACCATAAATCACTCGAACCATGAGAGTCAGGTTATATAGGCCGTGTGAACCAAAGAGCACTTGTCCCTTTTGAAGTCTTCCATCCTCTGATGAAATGACAAATGGAAGATGACCATGACACTGGCTGCGGTTGCTGGTGCTGGGCCACCACAGGTCAAGTCTTTGCAGGAACTGTTCTTTAAAAGGTTTTGAAGCCTCTCCAAAGCTGTGAAAATACACACAAAAAATGTAAACCAGCCCTATTAATTAATCCTCTCACAAAAGTGATTAAGCACTTCAGTCAGTCCTTTGAATGAGCGCAGAAATCCCCCTGTACTTAATCTGGGCAATTTTAAACAAGCATTGATAAGTAAATTGATCCAGGAATTCACAGGAAAGTTATTCTCATTATAAAATGTGTTGAACCTTGGTGCCTTTCTAAGCAAATAACCAAGAGTTAGTTTTGCCTCCTTCAGGGTGATCACTTGCATAAGTGAGAACATGCAGAATTTTAGTCGTTTTTCATTCCCAGCAGCTGTGTCTGGAGATGGAATTTAATGGTTTGTGAAGATGAAGAAATATTTCTTGACCTTTATGTATTTGCTTTTTCATCCAGGCTACTTTGCAGCCTGGAAAGGTCAATTTGAATCAGACTGCCATGAAGTGGCTGGTAACCGATCAGAATATCTTCTCTGATATTACCACTGAAGGAAACTTCACAGTTAATAATACGATGGCCACTTAAAAAGAATGAATATTTAGATTAGTGGCAGCAGAAATCATTGTGCTATCTATGCTCGCTTCTCTCTTTTCCTTGTTCCCAAGTGGAGCAGATTTTCTTCAGGTGTTGGTCTGTCCCTGGATGAATTTTTTTACTGGGCTGGGATTATTCATTAGCAGTGACAGACAGGTTTATAGGGGAGAAATGCTACTTTTCAAGAATACTTATTCTCAATAGAATTTCACAAGAAAATCCTCAGGCTGGGCTGAGCTGAGCTGGGTTGCATGCTGAGTTCTCCTAAAGCCCCGTAGCTAGAAAGAGCCTGTCTCAAATTTATATATTTTTCCACCTAGGCTATCTTCAAAAGAGAGTCCCTAAGAATTACTTTTCTCATACTTGTCCCTTCCTGTTCTGACCACAGTAAATGCTCTCTACTTACACCAGACAGGGCAGTCAGAACTGGAGGTAAATGAATGTTTCAAGCTGGCAACATAGTACTGGCAATAATTTACAGGATGATTTTTACAGTTGTTTTGCTTTAGTACCATTTTCAGGATATAAAGCCATTGTGACAGCAATAGAACTTGATTTGATTTTTCTTCTCTGTAAATGAAAGTCCTTGTGACTAAGTCAATTTTTTTTTTCTTCGATGCAACCTCTTTACATTATCCTGTCATTGGCCATGACAATTCAGAATGATAAATTGCAGATGGGTGCATGAGAAACTATACAGGTCCTGTAGATAGATTTCATTCCCGTTGTGGCAAGTTTCATGTGTAGAAAAAATGTGACACTGTGTTTGGATGTGGAGTAGCACCAAATTTCACATTTTCTACTTTGGCCTGCTTTTCCCAACTTGTGCATTAGGATTTGAGTAATTTGCCCACCCCAGAAAGAAGAGCTTGCTCCTGGTGCAGCCCAGAGTTACGCTGCTCATTTCTGCTCTTGCTCCTCGTTGGGACTGAACGCCCGCAGTGGTTCTGCTCTGCCCTCCCTCCTCACCCTGTGCAAGGACCAGTTTCAGGGCAAGGATATGCAATGGCTGAACAGAACAAGCATTTTCTTAGGAGTTTCAGCAAATAATGGTGCTGGCTAAACCATGTTGTGTGGAAAAAAGGAGAATTTTCTTGTCACGTTGCGTGTGCATACATGTAAAGTGAGTGAGTGAATTTTGCATTGTGGCTGACAAAATAGCTGAGTGTAAATGCAGGCTAAATAATAAAGGAATTAGTTTAGCAATATATATAAAAACAAAAGTCTGCTTTATTTTAGCTGTATAAATGACATGGAATTGATAACAGGATTTTTTGTCCTCTGCAGTGCCGCTTCTGTCATTGTGGGGGTTGTGCATGAGAAGTGTTTGCTTTCGATGCCACTAAGATGCCTATCAGCCCTGAGCTAACTGAGAAGTCGTGTTCTCCTACCGTCGCTCTGTTCCTGCCTTTACTGTGTTTCTGTGTGCAGTTTATATTCTGTCTCCTTTTGGTACAAAATCAGACTTGAAAACTCAGTGATGCAAACTGTGCGAATGAAATAACCTTGAAATGAGGTTTATAAGGAAGAACTCACAGCCTCCCTTGTTGCTATGGTTACTTGCAGCCGGTCCCCGAGTCAAAACGGCTCCATCATCAGCAACGGGTCGGGAAAGCCCAGCTCCGGCCGGAGCTCCCTCCAGAAAGTAATGGCACCGCAAAAAGTGACAAAAGACGAAGGAAGGAAAAGAAACGGTGAGAAGTGCTTCTTGATGAAAGCTGCTCGCAGTCGCCCCTGTAGCGGTACCCACGCAGGCACTAGCTATGTTGAAACCATCTTCCTATACCTTCAGCAGTACTTAGGCATTTTCTGTTCATAGCTGTTTGGGTCTTTTCCCCCCTTTACTGCTATAACTGTTTCTCAACCTCACACGAAACAGGATGGTGTTTACTCTTTATGTGTGGGCCTTTGCAAATTTTCATTCTTTCTTTTTTTTTTTCTTTTCCTTTTTTTCTTTAAATACCAGTAAACTAATGAAGACGTGATGCTGTGTAGTAGGTGGACAGCTTTTTTTTTTTTTTCTGTGTAGAGTCCTAAGATATTAATTTCCATTACTGCTGTTGCTGAGCTGGCCCAGATATGATGAAGATGAATTAATTAGGTAAAAATTAATTTGAGAAAGTGTGAGATGTCCAGAGCTTTAACTTTCCATCTTTTATCATCCTCATCATACCTTTTTGTTATTAACACTTCCTGACAGCTTTTCCTGATGCATCTAGGATGTCAGCTTTTCCTGATGCACCTAGGATGTTATGCTGGATGCTTATTACAAGCCCTTGGTTGATGGTGGTGACCTTATGACTTGAGATGTATCAGGAACATCTGATGAGAGTAGAATGCCATCCCCTTTCTTCCTTGCTTTTCTTTTGTCTGTCTCTCTGCTTATTCCTCCTGAGTTATAGCTTTGCTTCCATAGCTATATTTTCCATATGAATAGAAAACACTGTGGTTGAACCAATTGATCACTTCCCTCTAAAGGGAGGGAATTAAACTGGATGTGGTCTCATCAGATTCTGTCACGAACACAAGTCCGTAATTCTTCTTTGTTAAAAATGTAAGTGTGGAAAGGAGGACTTGGATAAAGAGAAAATCTTAGTGTAGATCTCTTCTCCTTTCTCCAGTAAATCACCTGAGTAACCTCTGTGGAGGCGATCCTGGTATCAAATCCTGTCATCCCTTGATGGTCGTTATTCCTAACACCAAAGTGTCACACAAAGGCTTTGCTGCTTTAGCAGGAATACAGTGTGATATAGAGACAGATACATAGCACCAGAGATGGCCTTTGTTCTGTACAGCAAAATCATACTGTGTTTTTCAAGTGTCCTCTGTTCTTTCCATACACGTACCATAGAGCATTGCATCTTGTGGGGACCATATAATTGATATAACTGTAGTACTCTGTTTTTAAATCGGCTTCACTGAGATTTATGCACATTTGCACATTCACACAGACAAGTGAAGTTAATTTTCTTTTGTTACATGTTTGTCACCTGTACTGCTTTCTTCTGACAGACCTGTGGCTTTACTGATTACCACAGACCTGTAATAATAAGTATTCTGAGTGGTCTTTCTGAAAGAGGTCTCCCCCCCCCGAGACAGCATAACAATATTTCATGGTTCTAAGTTTCAAGGGTTGTAATTATTTTTTCACTGTTTCAAAAGTAGCTCATTTTATGAGAAAACATTTATGGTTTCCAGTGTTAAAAGGTGTAATTTATGCTGCTTTTTTTCTTCCCTACCCAGGAAAGCCCGTATTCAGAAGCAGTGTCAGGTGGTGTTTACACGTGTAGGCAAAATAACTTAGTGAAGGTATTTTTTTGTTTTGTTTTGTTAGGTTTTAAATCTTCAAAGAAAATTGGTAAGAACTTCCAGTTTCTTTGTTAAAGAATTGACTAATACCTAACATCCTCTCTTCTGATCTGGACTGTAGTGTATTTCTAGAGCATACACATGCTACTTAAAGAAACCTTTCACTGTAGTATAAGGGAATACTGATCCTTTATTTTAAATCTTAATTTCATTATAATTCTAGCTTCAACTTTATTTGATAACAATAACTAGGCACTTTTCAAATTATGTGGAAAACTAATAACTTTATTTACATGTTTATTTTACCTTCCCTCTTCTGTCTTCTGAAAAAAAGCCTGAATAATGTTGTTGTTTAAAATGGTCAAGGTGCTTCTTGTTAGGAGCAGCAAAGGAGCTAAATGATTTCTAGGAAAACATCTTTAGTGTATAATCCATTCATAGTATGGTTACTTGTTGTTTGTTCCTACCACATGCTGGCAGCAAGATCTTGAGCTTCTGTGGCAGAAAGGAAAAGCTGGGTTTGCCTGTTTAAGAAGTAATAGTATAGCATATATACAAAATATGAAATAGATGGGCTGTTTCCATCTGACTATTCTGGCTTTGAAGGAAACTGTGCATGAAACGCCTTTTCTGCAGAGCCCTCCTTCTGGTAGAGACTTCAGCTACTTCTAGAGGAACTTCCTTCACTCGACTGCCATGGCCCTAGAAAGGGTCGCCTGCTAGTTTCCAGGCAAACTATGAAGGGGAATAAATACATTGTTCCCTGGTAAAGAGATGGGGACTTTTTAGCTGTAGGCATGTCTTTTAAGATACGTTTAAGAGAGTTTCCTGACACAACCCTTTCAGAACAGCTTCTGGGAAGGAAGATGTGGCCCTGGGAAATGAAATGGCCTCCCCCTTACCAGAATTACGGAGCTGGCCCCACATTTATTTTCATATGCATGTGCAGATATGTTTCTGACTTTTGAGTCGTGTGATCCCAAATGCCTATTGAAGTTGAAATTAAAAAAAAAAAAACCAAGGCACCCGTTACTTTTCATCATGGAGCTTACGCTTTGTTCCCCAGTGCTATGATTACAAACACTGTTGTCATCTCAGATATTTTGTTCTTTTTGCAGGCTTTTATCTTTATCCAGCATGATTAGCATCAATAGAATGTGTTGGCTGATTCTTCCTTCCAGTTTAAGAAAGAAGCTGCTTTTCTCCTAGTTGTTTGTCTGAACCTGCTCCAGTTCTCTAGCCTGGCTGTAGCCTGACGCCTCTAATGCGCATGTCAGCAAAAGCAGCAGCATATTTTCTTCTCTGAAAAGCAGAATCTTAAAACTGGAATGAATTCCTTGATGGTCACATGTTTGATTTGGGGACTCCAAGTTAGAATGGCTCATTAGTTGCCATAGTTACGGACCAATTTTAGATTCTATTTCTTGCTGACATTTAGTTACATGGAAAAATGACAGCACTGGATGTTACCTCAGTACATAAACTCTATATGGCTTGTATCAAAATTGACTCTAAATGGAGTGTGTCAAGGCTGAGAGTGAACAATGTGAAACCACCACAGACTGACAGGCTTGATTTAAGGACCTGATGATTTGGAGGATCAGGAGAACTCTTTAGCTGAGCCTTATTTCTACAGAAAACACAAATAAAATATCTATTCGTATTACAATATTGATAAATTTTGGTAAGGTAATAGCATTTTTTTCCTTTTGTTTTTTTTTCTTGGAAAACATTTATTAGTATTCTAATAGGAAGTTTCCTTTCTAAAAGTTGATGAGTGGGGCTTTCATTTACTTTGGGCACTCAAAAAAAAAAAAAAAAAAAAAAATTAAACCTTTTTTTTAAAAGTGCCCAATTGCATATGTCAGAGGACTGCGATATGAATGAATCAGCCAAAAGAGGTACTGGCAATTTCCAAGACGGGTTTGTAAGAGAGCGTGGAAGAGAACAACAGGATATTAGCACTTTCACCTATCGTTTTATCAGGCCTAACATCATTCAGGGAGAAGCAGCAGGCTGAACCCACATGTACTTAAAGAACTACAGTAGCCCACAGTAAAAAGTTTTCTTTCACCAGCTCCTCACAAAATGAAGCCAGTGGAAGTTATATAGGTCATTTTTCCAAACTTTGAGTGCTTGATCTTGCAACCTTCCTGTTAGCATCTTTGTGCTAGTGAAGGTGTGATTGCTTGTTTTTTTTGAGAAAAATGAAAGCTTTAGTTTGCTAGCAGTTCTTAATGAAGCATATGACTCTATAACTTTTGGGCTGAGAACTCGTATAGTTGAGCCCAGTTTTGTATTTGAACCTCATCATCGTGAAAGGACACACACCAGAGGGTATTTGTAAAGAGTCAAACCTGTGTAAGAAATCTTCCTTTCCTCCTCCTAGGAGTCCCAGCTGGAGCACTTCTCATCTTCCAAGCATTTGGACGTTGTCTTTAAAAATAGATGCAACTTTTCAGAAGCAGTTCAGTCAGGGGCCTCACTCCTTTTTAAATATCAGTCTCTAAGACTATCATTTTCTCTGTCCAGGCAGAAGCTGTCATATAATTTTTAAATTCTTTTTTCCTTCTGTTCTTTGTAGGGATATCTGAAAATCAGGTGTCTGCAGGAACAAAGTACCGGGGAGGAAAACTTGGCTGTATTATTGGCTAAGCTAAAATCAAAGGGATTTTTGGATGTAACTCAGCCAAGCTATGATACACTGCCTCTTTTATTCTGTGTAAGTGTGGGCCACCAGTTTTCACACTGTCTGATGTGGCAGCTCAGCGTCAGAGCCAGCTTTTCTGAATTTCTGAGCAGTTGTCTGTAGTGACTCAAATGAAAATGAAATATGGCAACAGCAATTGAATCCAGTAGCAGCAATGTAGCAGTCTGCTTTGACACAGAAGTTAGCTGGAGGATCTGGTGTCTCCTCACAAACATCCAGCACCCTTCATCTGCCTTTTCTGTGCTGCATGGGGTGAAATACAAGTTAGGGTGAAAAGGGCTTCATCTTGCCAAATTTTGGTCCTTTAAAGTTGGCTTGCTAATCTGATCTAACCAGGTAGGCTCTCTAGTGACTCCAGAGGGTCATAACTAATTGGGACAAATATTTCTGCTCTGGAGGTACTCGCTTTTCTCTTTCCAGTATGGAAGGAGCCCAGACAGCTGCATTAGAGCATAGGCACAGATTTGAAGTGAGACGATTCCCTTTCATGATGCCTGTCTCTTTGAAAGGCTGAGAAATCAGAGTGCTAGGAAGAATTTATGGTGTAGAGAGAGGAATCTGTTCTTTTCATCATTCATTCCCTCATCCTGAAGCATTAGCTTCATTTGTCACAGAAACAGCATTAGTGGGGATCTTTATCTAACTCTTCACCCCCTCGCAGTAAACTCCTAGGCTTTTCTGGAGTAATTTCCTGACATTTAACCATAGCAGGGTAAGGAAAAAAAAAAAAAAAGAATGAACAAAATCTGCTTGTTCAGCTGAAATCCCTCATATTGGCACCAGTTACTATTCTCCTTGAGCCTCCCAGAAGCTTTACACATTGATTCTTTTTTTTTTTTTCCTCCAAAGATTTCAGCTTGTGTGACATAGCCTAATATTTCCCCATACTGTTTCCATTTCTTCCACTGTCTTTTTTTTTTTTTTGGTGTTTGCTTGTTTTAAATATAGAGCGCGCTGTGACCCTGCTAGCATCCTGCTGGTGACAGCGAACCCTTTGTTTCTTCAGACGTAGCCTACACCATTTCCCGCTGCTTTCTCCACTTGGTTTTGGTTTGCAAGAGGCAGCCAAGTGTTATAACCTATTCTGTGAACTTCTGAGCCACGTTTCTGAGCCGCTTCACACTCCTACAAAAGCAAAAGGTGCCACTGCTCCACCACCTCTCTCCCTGGAGAGAGAGTGGGAGAACAAACAGCACCTCTGATTGTCCATACTGTGTGACAGGGGCCACCCAGGTGCTGTATTCACAGGCATGGTAGAACGTGCATAAATAAGTGGAAAATACCTTCTGTTTGAGCTCTTTTAGGTCAGCATGGCTAACCCAGCTTGTCTTTTTTTCTTTTTGAGCCAGTCTTTTTGATTGCTTTTCTCATGGCAAGAAAATACCTTATCTTATGTTGCTAAGGTGCCTGTTGCAGCAGACCTCTGAAGGAACTGGGATCTCCAGGTGGTTGTGCAATTAAGTATTTCTTAATTCATATCTGCCTTCCCCTCCAGATAAGCTCTACTCTGCCACTAAGCGAGTCTGACAGCAGTTCTCATCCAAGCGACAGTGTGAAGAGTGTGTAGACGTTCATACCATTAGGTCCAGTGGCAGTCTGGATGGTTGTTATCTGTCACTAATATGTCAGCATTGAAGAAGACAAATGCATGGTTTTATTGTGCAAACAGAAAACTGTTTCTGCAAAGCTTTTTAAAACTCAGAGCACTACTTTCTTAAAGAAGTGGCTTCTGTTGTAGGTTCTCATGCCTTCCCTATCTTCTTTGTATAGTCATCATCCTTGTCAGTTAAATAACTTTTTTAAATTATTGATCATGCCTAGGATGGTATTACAGAAGTGCCAGCCAAGAAAAGGGGCTGATGGATTCTCTACAAACATTATGAAACACATGGTCTCTTTTTGAAAGACTTTGATATTTAAATAGATGCGGCAGATGTGGTTGGAGGAGAAGACATAACCACAAAGAGAGAGAGATCCTTGCTTCTGCTTATAAGGACAAGAAACCTTCATAGAAAGTGAACGAAGCAAGCAGCTAGTAGAAGAGCAGACACCCCACGTATACAGTTTCATAAGAAACCTGCAAATGTCAGTTTAGAGATCTCAAATGACCTGCTCAGGTAACTCCTATTTCAGGACCCCAGGCAAACCCAGGACTGCAACACCTCAGACACGTGGTGTTTAGCAGACTTTGCATACGAGAAAATAATATCCAGGAGGAATCATGAGCTGCTTCCATTAGTCTGTAAGCCATCTGCTTCCCTGAAAATATAATATTTGTGCTGTTCATGAAAGGCTTAGAATCACAGTGTCTCACGGTTGGGTGTATTTTGGAAAGGGTGTGTGTGTGTGTACAGAAGTATGTTTTCTGTTACACTGCAGTATCTTAGAGAGGTATTTCAGTCCTGAACAGGTTCAGATACTGATGTTAAGAAACTTGTATTTTACTTACAGGCTTATAAACTCCTTCAGAATCAAACATTTTTTTTATTGCTAAGAGCTCTTGTTCATACCCTTCTGGAGATAGTCAGCTGACAAATTAAATGATTTAGATGATGTAGAAAATTTCCGATTTTTTTCTATATAGACAAATTTTCTCTAAAATGAAAATTATTTCCCCATCATTAATGTACATTCAGCAGTCAGGATTGCTGTCTGAAATACTCATACAGAGGCTCTATCCTAAGGAGATAGTCTTTTAGGTCTGTAGCATAATTTGCTCTCTGTCAAACTTACAATTTTCATTTAATATAATCTATTTGCTTTCCTATTATTTTAAGCCCTTCCGTTACTCAGAGAATTCATTGCACACTATAGGTATGGTTATAATGTTTGCATTCCCTTCATACAAAATAAATCTTGGGAAATTGTTAATGCCTCATTGAATGACCTAAGAAAAGGCAGGGCACGTCTACCAGCTTGCGAGTGTTTCCCATGTTTTGGCTTCACATGTTTTTCTCCATCTATGTCATTCTTTTCCTGAGGACTTCCAAAATCGGTCAAATTGTTGCTTCTGAGCAGGACAGCACATCTCTTTGTTTCAAGTATTTTGCTGTAAGGTTACCTGATCCGCAGGTTTAGATTTCCTTACTCTTTTTTTTTCTTTTTACAGATAAGTATTTCAGTCCTTCTTCCTTCCAACGTATTTTGATTTGGGAGAGGGGAGGAAAGACAAGGTGGAGGGAAAGAGAGAGGAGAGAAATCGTGTGGCCTTCATATTGAAATCTTAGCCTGACAAAAGTATAACTTTTATTTTTTTGTATATAAATTAATAACCAGATAAAAAGAGAATATTCCACCTGTCTAATTGTTTCTTAACCGTTCAGAGCTGCAGTTCCACAGCCCCTTTTCCACCGGCTGGAGGACCAGTGGCACGAGTGGGTAGCACCACCTGCTGGCATCGCCGGCTGGAAATAGTGCAGAGCTGCACCCAAATTGGAGGCTAGCATCCCTGAAGCAGCTTTAGCCTAGCGAATCTTGTATACTAATAGCTACAGTGATGTGGAGATAAAGCTTCAGCGATGGTCCTGCTCTTCAAAAACTCAGTGCCACGCTGATCTTCACTGCAATTGGCACTCAACCTGAATAAATGATTGCTTTGGATATATCTTCATGTACTTCAGTCACGGGAAGATTAGGAAGAGTAATTCAATCTCAGTGGATCATGTGGCATGAGATATCTAGCACAAGATGTTTCAGAGATGGGAAATTACTGTTAAATAAGTGATTAAAGTAATTTTTTTGCCCTTTTCTGCAGCTGAACTTCTAAGTCTCGCTATGTGTGCACGCAGACAGTGCAAACGAGTAGAAGAACAATGAATCCATATTGGTATGCACCTGTTTAAAAACAGAAATTAAAAGCGTCGCTTTAAATCTGTGTTGCTAATTATAATAAGCAAGTGTGCTTATTGTGACTATAAAGAACAACTGGGCATTTTTCTGAAGTTTCCCGTGCCCATCAGTCGTTTGCCCAGCTGAGGCGTTAGGATGGGTGGGCTGGCCCGAGGCAGGGACACACAGCAGAAACAAACACTCCAGGACTCCCACTTTTCTCTGAGCTCCCTTTGGTTTGTTTTTTAAAGTTTGGAGGTTGCTGTGGTTCAATTGCATTATAAACGCCTGTTGTAAATTCTCTCGGAAAGGGATGGATAGGAGCAAATATTAAAATTCCCACAGTACTTGCTTAGGGTTCACCGCCAATACAAACTATAGCAGAGTGCCAGTAACTGGAGATCACAGACTCTCTTTATCACTCATCGGTGAAAAAAGGGCAATGGAAAAAACTACTATTATATTATAAATGCCAATTAATGAACAAATGCTAAGCTAAGGTGAAATAGACTTCCAATTTCTAGTCCCATTTGGTTATTATTTCCATGCCAATAGCACTGCAGTAGATGCAGGAGATGTGCTCACAAATGAGAGGGCTGATACACTGAGGGTGCTCTTCGGTGTCAATGTACCACATCAGAAGTAGCTGTCGTCTGTGATTCCTGATTCCCTTAATTTTTCTTTTCTTTAATGAGTCTTTGAACCAGAGGAATTCTGTTTAATTAAGCAAAACTCTTGGTTTCTGATCCTGAAATGAGGTCTGAGGAGACAACCCACACATCTGTAGCTAGTCATGCTCTCTGTGGGTGCCTGGAGATCACTGCCAAGGTCTCAGCAAGCGCAGTCCTTCTGAAACACTGGGGTGGAAACGCAGCTGCACTTCTTGGTGCTTTCTGCTTGAAGTAGGGTACACAGAAGATGTTTGGGAAGAATTATGTTTTGCAAGTTGATGCTTAGCCAGGGTTTTCAGGCAAATGCTGAGACAGGCAGCCAAGGGAAAGTGATTCCACAACTTCTTGGTACTTGGACCTCTGACAAGATATTATCCAGGCTCACCTGAACTGTAATCATCATGAGAGACCATCTTTGTCGGTGAAAAATACATTTCAGACAAACTTTTTCTCTCTTGGAGATAGTCGTGTCACAACGGAGGTACCTTGTTAGGGTAGCATGGAGGTTTCAGCAATGAATCACAGGCAACACCCATCTTCCAAAACTGCATCTGGTGACTTACATGAGAATTGAACTGATTCAAAATGCCCTGAGGGAAGAACGTCCGTGCTTCCCTTTTATACTCATTGTGATGTAAATGCCCTCCTGTTCAAGTGTGGTCTGTGACAAGCAAGTATCTCTTCATTCATCTGATTTTGCTGGTGTGGTGTCCTGGTGGCATGGTCATCAGTGGGAGTCCAGCAGTTAATTTCAGTGAGCTAGGCTCGTGATCTGCTCGCTCTGGTAAGCATACAAATTCAGAGTGTTTGAACTAACCCCAGGAGGGACGAGGGGATTTCACACCCACTAAAGACTCCTCTATCATATTTGGACAGTTCTGTGGAGCTGGAGGGACAATATTTAATGACAGAGTGATTTAACCCATCTATTTCTCAAAAGTTCAAGCAGTGTCAACTCCAGTCCACACTGAGTACAGACAGAAAGATAATAAGCTTACTCAGTTTGTTCATATTTTATGTTGCCACTGTCAAGTATCTTCTTACCAAAATCACTGGCTGTCTAAACTGCTGAGTTTATACAAGTCCATTGTAATTTGTGCAGTGATTAAATATTAAAACAGAGTGTATTTTCAGAGGAAATAAATTTAGAGCAGACCACTTTGTTCTTTAGCAGAGGATCTCTGCTCCTGTCAGTTAGGAGATGGAGCAAACATTCTTCCCTCTAATAGCATAATTATTAAAAAATGTTTGCAAGAATCTCTTTGTAGAATTTGTGCTCATGCTTTAGAGTCCTTCTTTTATTCCAAAATGAGGATAAAAGTTTAAGATTCAACAGCTGACAAGATGATGCAGGTTTACAAACAAAATTTGGAGGAGAAAGGGCCCAACTGTATGTGAAAGAGTTATCCATTTATATAGAAATCTAAAACTAAACATGCTTTGCCATGCCATTTAATTTTAAAGGTTTTCAGAAGCCTTCTCCTGTCTCTTAAGAAATTTTAATGGTTTAACTTTACAGCCACCTGAGGTACTGCTTTGCAAAGCAAAAAAAACCCCCAAAACATAAACTTGGACACTATCAGTTTCTTAAGTATGTTTTAACACACAACAGTAATGCTTTCATTTTAACAGATGGCATTTTTAGCATTAATAACTTTTGCTAAAATCAGTTAGTTTATTTTTCAAATTTTGCGAATGTCCGTGCTCTTGCAGTGTAAGACACAAAAAAATGCTGCACTTTTGGGTTAGATCAGGTGTAACTACTGATGCCTTGGTATGTGGAGGCTTGTGTGTGTGTGCTTGCGCGTATAACGTCTTTTTCCATCTGAAACCTAGGAAAAGATGTACTTTGACTTTCATTATCATTTCCATACAATTTTCTGTGTCATTCTTTTTCTCCTTTTCTTCCCATCTTATTAGTGCAGATTGGAAATCAACCTTCTTTGGGGGAGTGCGAGATAACATTATGTATTCAAAGGATTATCTGTAATCTAATGGAATTTTTTTCCAGTGTAAAACTCTCCCAGGTCTGCTCCTCGAGTGTACTGAGCACATCATTAATCTAAAGCATGTGCTTGCTGAATTTCACCTTGAACATGCAGTAAAAATATCTGTGTCTTTATGCTGAATGAGTTTGATATGCTTTAGTGCCCATAAGTGACGAAGAGGAAGGAGGCATTCTCTTTGATAACATTGCCAAATCTGCCATTGACCCCTTCGACACCTCTTCTGGATCAGTACAGCTGATAGCCATCAAACCTGTGGCCCTACCTGCTGTTCATGCTGCATCAGATAGGAGCCAGGAATCTGCCATCATTAATGGAGAGGTAAGGACTGTCTGATAATGTCTCCAGCTGTTTCCTTGGCTACATCCACAGGTGGAACAATCTTAAGCCTGTTAGAGTTGAGGACTGGTAGGAGCTTTTCACCCTGATGCTATATAAAGTCCTATTAGCACTGTGGGCTCGGAGATCTGAGAATTTAAGATCTGCTCTTTCGTGATGCACCTGTGAATGCATGTGACCTTGGAAGAGGCAATTGTCTATATTCCTGCCTTCTCAATATCCTTCTCTCCTATCATATTAGTTTTAACAAGATGAGTAATGAAGGCAGAGAGCAGAGTAAGATCTTTGTCTACATGAATTCTGTGGCTGAACATGGAAATGTATATAGATCATCCGGGTCCCAAGTTGATTTTTCTATACTGAGCAACACATCTCATTCAGAGCAAGAAGGGGTGGAACAGGACCATGGCTTTGCTCAATCTGCACTCCAGCCTGTGCACAGAGGGTGCAGTTGTTTCCTGGGACCAAAGTGGGATGGCACAAGCGTCTGATCCAGGTGCTGGCCAAAACCCATGCTTTGGCTCCAACATTAGTATGATTGTTCATGTTTTTATGTAGATTTAATCAAGACTGGTCCATTTACAAAGGACTTAGGCTTTTATATAGTTGTTAAACATGATGGGGACAAGCCAGAGAGGTGTCTTGTTTGCAAACTAGCACTGCAAGTCATTTAAAGATCAGCCAGAATCTCCCTGATGCTGTTTAAAAGCAACAGGGAGGGCTGCTGCCAGAGACACAGTAAAAGACAGTGTCATCAGGCTTTCCGTGTGGGCCTGGATTAGAGCAGTCTGTCATGCTCCATTTTGTACTTGTATTTTAAGCCCTGAAGTGCCATGTAGTTTCCAAACTCAGAGAAAGGCTTTTTTAGATTTCAGCATCTATTTTCTGTAAGTCAACAGGATGGCACTCCCGGTGCTGTGTGCTCCCTTGTACATACATTTCTTGAAATTTGTGAGAAGACTGTAGAATTTGACTCTGGGAGCACAAAGCCCAAGTAAATGACTCATTTCCATGTAACTGACAATTTGAAGCAGAAGGGAAATTTTCTCAATACTTAGGAGCACCCATGAGACCTGATCTGTACCAGGTCAGACCGAACACCCGTTCAAGGATCCTGTCTCTGACAGGGCCGTAACAGATTTGTAAGGAAGCATATAAATAAGAGGAACATATGATGATATTTCACCAGAATTCTTCCCCAGCCACCAGTGAAGACTTATTTAAGGTTTTGTGTAGTGAGGGGCGATGTCTCTGTACTTAAGGGATCCTAGAAGAGTTTTCATTGGTAAGTTCTCCCCGTGGTGCCCAAAAGCAAGCACGGCATTGGGTCATGACAATTGGCTAAAATCATCGGTGTTTTTCTTTAGTGGGTGTATCTGAGTCACTGTTGTGATAGTACATAGTTTTTAGGCTAAAATTATTTAACCATCTGCCAAGCCATAAAAATGCAGCGACTCTGTTCACTTGCAGTTCCTTGCTGCTTACAGATGGCACGGTGTGGTACAAAAAGCGCTCTGTAAAATGACACATGCAGTGCATCAAACACACTCCAACAATACCATTTGGAAGTAGCCAGACCAGCACCACCCTTTAAACATCTTTTTGCCTTTTAGGTGAACAAGGCTTTGAAGCAGAAATCCGATATAGAACATTACCGCAACAAGCTGCGCTTGAAAGCCAAGAGGAAGGGGTACTATGATTTTCCGCAGGTTGATAACAACAAGGGGCTGACAGAGAGAAAAAGGATGTATGAAAAAAACCAGAAAGAACTTGACCACATTTTGGATCCAGATGCAGACGTCTCGTCTCCATTTGCTGAGCCTAAGAACAGGTGAGACTTTTTATATGCAGTTCTTCACCCGGGAGGGAAGTTGATGTCCAGAGGTTGTAGGGAGTCAAAGGGGCCATTCTTAATGAGCCAACTGTTTGCTGTATGGTCAGCTGGTCCCTCCTACTTTATGAAGAAAATTCATATAACCCGTGATTATTTATGAGAGTATGTTATCCGGTAAAACTGCAATGTGGTTAAAAAGAAAGAAATGGAAAGACAGAAAAATAAGAGAAGGGACTATTGCAAGTTCTTGTGAGTCATTTTCCAAGTAAGGGAAATAGAAAAAGTGGTAGTAATTTTTTTGGTAATACTGAGAGTGGACTTAAGCCAGGAAGTTAGCCTTTTCCAAAGTTCAGCAGTGTTATTATTTTGTCATTATTTTTATCTGAATATAACTATTGCAGTAGGCATAAACACCCCAGCCAGTACATTGTCCATATATTTTAGTAAGTCCTGCAGGGATGGTATCTGTAAGGATGTGTGTGTACCCGTTATTGGTGATATTCCTGTGCCTTTAACAGAGAAAGTCATAATTTGCTCATCTGTGACGTGAAGCTGGCATATTGTATAACAGTACTAATGTTTGATTAACACTTCACTGTCTCTTGAAGATGGCACACCAGTAGTATTCATCTCCCCATTTTAGAAACGAGGGGGGAGTGTACATGCTGATTCTGCCTGAGCCTGATGGGGGTGGGTGGGTGGGTGGGTGGACCTGCTCTGTTGCTGGTGCTCTCTGAAGCACAGGTTGACACACTGAGAAGAGGAGATCACACCAGTCCTACCCCAGGAATGGTCACAGTATGCAGATTCCTCTTCCTTAGGTGTGGTGGAGGTGTGAAGGATTATAAGAGAGTGTGTTTGCCATTGCACCTCACACCACGAGGGGTCTGGTTCTTACTGTAATCAGGGACCAGCAGCAGTTGATCCATGAGAGAAAAAGGGATACTGAAGTACAGTTCCTCTGGAAATGGTCTCATGCCTGGAGGTGCAATCTTGCATCCCATCTCCTGGAAGGTTCAGATCAAAGTTTTCCTATGAGCATAAATCATGGCTGCAATCAAAGCATCAGTGGCGACACAGTCTTTGCACACAGCACAACTTCAGCAATTACCCTTGGGTCACAGAGATGAAAAAGACTGTAATGGGAATTATAAAAGCAGTGTTGGCTCAGAACCTGGGCAAAACCTGTGATCAGATGAACTTCTATAGGTCTAGAGTTAAATGACTGAGGGATACTGCCTTTGATGGGCCGTTTCTCAGGGTTGCACTGGTCAATGAAGAAAAAAGATGCTGACTGAGCTGTATGTTATATCCTTGCTGGAGGGTCTGGGGCATCATTTCCTTGTGCAGTTTTCCAGTGAGGGAGGAATAATTTGCTCTAAATGCACTGAAAAGGTAAGATACTGAACCCTCAGTACACAGGAGTCTGCTCTGTCTGCACAGTCTGTCCAGAAAACATTAATGAAACAGTAGAAACATTGAAATGACTGTGTGCTGTACATATAGTGAAGGACTGAGGCATTACTTTGGATATTTATTATGTGTCACACGCCATGTAGGAAATGTTTAAAACATTGCACATGAAGCTTTAATGCTAACCATCTGTTTTTTGTTAAATATACTGATGTATGTTTGTTCATGTGCCAATGTGCTGAAAGGTCCCGGAATACATTTTTTCTGCGTGCTTTCTAATGTGTTGTGTAAACCTGTCATAGTGTATTTGAGATAGTGATCACTGGCATGATACAAACTGCTTGAAGGCAGGTATACTGCTGTAGAGGAATGATTTCATTGTGTAGCTGAACCATAAAAGGCTGACTGCTGGATTTACTTGTTAAATATATAGTCTATATCCCTATATAGGAAGAGAGAAGAACCATTTCTGATGCACTTTCTGTAAAGACACAAAGCATTTAGAGAACTTCACAGATGATGCAGATGTTTGCAAACAAACCAATTCCAAAGTCTATGCTAAAATTTCCAAACTAAGACCTGGAACTGAACTTGATATGCTGCAACACACATGACAGCATTATTGTCTTCATTTTTCTAACTAAAAATAAGATGGCTAAAATGGCATACTGCTGGAGGAAAACCTTGAATAATACTGCAAGGTAATGTGCGTTTTGGTTATTGATAAATGAATCAATACAATTGTATTTCCGTAATGAAATAAAATTGTTTTTAAAGCAATCTAGGTTAGCATAAAATTGAAAAGATTTGATTTCTAACTTTTTCTGCTTTGTATCATTGTTTGTATCATTATATTTACAGCAATTAAAAACTGAAAAATTGAATTTTTAAAAAAAATAGTATCACTTAGTAAGTCAAAGATTTCAAAATTTCTAGGGAAAAGGTCTTTTCCACTCTTTTCTGTTTTGTGTATATTTCACTGAAGTTATTAAATAATCACATTATTACAGCATTTCCAAAAGATATCAGAAAATAAAGATGCAGTTGATTACATTATTCAAGATCACCTTGGATTTGTTTTAAATTGCATTTAAAAGTGATTTACAAAACATCACCACTAAGTAATTTGATTTGGTCAAGAACAAACAGTTTCATGCTCTTAGTATCTTTGAGTCTTCTGTACCATAAAATTCATGTTTTAAGATCTTCCAGTTGTGTTCCCAGAAGGCACCTGCTAACCCATTTGAATGCCAGTTGTTAGCATTCATACCTCCTTTCTCATTAGTAAAACTTTCTTAAATGAGCTAATTGGCAATCTCAAGGCAATTTTTAAGAGCCTACTGATGATATGCGCTATTCTGGGTTTTTCTTTAATAGTTTGTAATCAGGTCAAGAATCTGCACGTATTAGAAAGCTGTATATTTGAATCCCTTAGAAAATATATCACAACTGCATCAACTAAGCATTTATGCACCTATTGTAAAATGTGTATGAAATTTTAGAGACCTTTAATGTAGGAACATAAAGATGGTCAGATCTGATTAGCCTTAGCATAACCTAGTTCCCCATGTTTTCTGGTAATACTGACAGTATAGTCTTGGAAGAAACAAGATAAGGCACTTTAATTTATTCAATATTATATTTATAGAGGAAATTTATTCCAAAACCTCTGCTTGTCTTCTGCTTTGGCAGTGCATTTGGGACTTTCAAACATGGGCATGGAGATTTGTGATTAAAAGTCACACCCAAGTTTTTGAAAGTTGCCTTAAAATTAAATACATGCTCGAGTACTTAGTTTGATCAGAAGCGTGAAATTGATATTTTTTTGTCCTACTTTTTATCCTATCTGATCATGTAAATGTCTGTCTTTCTGGATTTCTGCAAACCAGTTTCTGCTGCTCTAATCTGTCATGGCAAAAAGCTCTGTTAACTAAATCTGTAATATCTGAAGAATTATTTCTTCTTATCAGCGAGTTCATTTGGACTGTGTTGTCTTTTCATTTCATTGATGGTTCTTGAGAGGTTAAACCATGAAGTCTTCGTAACTGCTGAATGGAACAGAGGCTACTTAATGTGGTTTCCTCTTATGTCACTTACAGAAACGGTCCTAGGCTTTTCAATATCTCAAATATTGTAGTAGATCTCTTTGTAATCAGTTCAGGCAGTCCCAAACATTTAAAACTCTGGAGAACTTATTTTTACCCCGCTTATTAACTCAAATAGAGCTCTCGGCCACAGGCTCACTTTAATGCAAGCATTTTCTGCCTTTCAATCAAATCTTAGCACAGGATTGCATTTTTCTCTCACGTTACCTGGCAAGCATAGGAGAATGATGGAAACGTCACTGAAGCCTCTCCCTTCAATAGCCGCCTTTTCAAATTTCTACTTTCAACTCTTCAAGAAAATTACTAACGGCCAGAATATGCTATGACAACAGCATCTCCTAAACTTTCTTGGTTTAGATGGTTTAGATCTTCTTAAAAGATGCAGCTTGATGAAGCATGAAGTTCCTGTACCACGATTTGGCAACCACTCCTAAAGAGCTTATGTACAGATACAGATACATTCTGTACCTTACAGAGAAATGCTATATTTGTTTTTGTATAAGCAATAACAAGGAAAGAAATGGTTGCATTGGAAAGATCACAGGATATTTTGGGTATTGAGTTATATGCTGTCTTTCTAGTACCTTTGATTCCCCTGGCTTCTGAGCACACGGTGGTGAAAGTTCAATGCCTAGGGATGCCTTTGCCCCAGTGCTGCTCAGAGCTATGCTGGAAGCGGTTTATTCCCAGGGATTACAGCTCTCTGATAAAGTTGTGGCCAGTTACCAAACTGGCTATTTAAAAACAGCACCTTGCAAGCAGTTCCCTCCCACTCCTGTCTCTCTTCCCATTCACTTCGCTGGGTGTTTGTTTCAGTGGAGCGTTATTCCACTTCCCTCTCGTTGCTCAGGATCAGCAACCAAAATCTCTGCTCCCCATCTGAGTGTGTTGGGAGGTTCTGTTATTTTTTGGTAATAGCACCTATTTATTTTTTATGAATTTGAATCATATCAGCTGAGGTTAAAATGGTTCTGATATCTTCTTGGGACATATTTCATTTGATAAGCTCCCACATATGATGTCCATGTCTTTTATGTAGCTTTATTTTCTTTAACGGTAAACAAAATTAATGATCTCTTAACAATGTCACTGATTTCTAGCACTTCCATATACATAGAAAGAATATCCTATAATAAAGTGGCATTTTTATGAACCTTATCATTTTAGAATAAAGGTAAGTATGGAAAACTGCTGCCTGTCATTTTTTTGTTTTCATTTTACTGTTTTCTTGTTTCATGTTTTCTAGGCAACCGATGAAGAACTCGGTATACAGAAGCAGGCAGTCTTTGAACAGTCCTAGCCCAGGAGAAACTGAGATGGATCTTCTTGTGACTCGAGAAAGACCAAGACGTGGAATCCGTAACAGTGGATATGACGTAAGTTTATCAGATATATGCGGTGAAATTTGCTCAGCAAAGTCTTAACTTATTCCTAAAAACAGGATACTATTGATAAGCTACAAGCCAGAGTGCCACTGGATATTTAATGTTACAGTACGTTATGTGCACTCAGCATCCTGAAAAGGTTCAGGATACTCCGAGCACAGACTCTTTCACGTACTTTATAGCTGTACATCATTTTACGGTCTGAAATGCAAACAAAACATTTGCCCTGAAACTCACTATTTGCCAAAGTGTTAAATTTTGAATTTAGATACTTCTTCTAAGCATGCAGCCACTTAAATGATACTGAGCTTATTTTCACTGCAATTAAAATCCTCTGTTCTGTACCCCTGGTGCTGCTCTCTTAATTCAGAAGAATGGACAAACAACTTCTAGGAATTTCACTTAAGTCCAGATGTCAGTGTTTTGAGGAAATCCCCTAGGAATAGATATTGTCCTCTTACTACATCAGCACTGGGAGAGTTTTGAATAGGTAAATGTCAAAACCAGCCAGAGGAGATGCTGATTTATGGTCCAAGAAACTCATGCGGCCAACACAAGGCTAGATTAGTTGTCTTGTTCAGTCTGGACATAACACTGGGTGCAAGTTGACACTGCATGCACCCAGAATGAGGACAAAAATAGTCCCCACACTGGTGTAATGTAGAATTTTTCAATCCTTCACCACGTGTACAAAATGCTGTAGCTCAGCGATCCCTGAAGATCAGTCCCTGGAAAAGGTCTAATCCATTCTGGAAAATAAGGATGTTCATCGGGTGGTTGTTCATCCCCTAAACTCTGTAGATGACAAGCATTTTGTGTGGGGCTTAATTGTCAACCCTCTCAGCTGCCAGGGATGCGTTTTTAGCAAGGTGAAGGAATGTACCAAGGTCAGGGGATGTGTTCAGGGAAGTTTAAATCTTTTTCAGAATTCTTCGGGGCATGTTGTAGGTGTCAGATTTCTTAAATGATTTCCTGCATTTGAACACTTCCCATCAGACTACATGAGTCACGTTGTGCCATGTAAGTGGGATGACTGGTTCACTGCTTTCTGAGGCATTAGAATACATCGTTGTAGCCTGGAACAAGAACGGTATAACCTGTTAAAATAGGTTTTACATTTTGCAAAAATATATTTTATTTTTTTTACACCACTTAAATGTTTCCTTTATTATTGGAGCTTTCTTAGATAATAGAAACATTGTCAAGCCAGCCTTCCCTCAGTATCCTGAAAACCAAATGTTTTAAGAAAGCAAGAGATTTTTTTAATATGCTAATAAAAGGTAATTTTTCATAGTTGGTATCTTCCTGAAATGAATGTTGAAAACATTCTGGGAGCAGGCATGGCCTCCCGCTATTAGTTCAAAAATAATATGCCATAAGTAGTTAGCAGAAGATTTTTAAAATATATTTTAATATATTGTATATACAATATATAAAATATATTTCAAAGAAAATTTATTAAAAACCTTGAAAGTAGATTAATGAGCTTATGCAGATTCTGAAATGTCCTAAAAGTCGTGATAAACTCTGAGATCGGTGTACACCACACACAAGTTTGCTTTCGCCTTTCTTTTAAGGTTGGGGTTGGGCGAGCTGTCCGTGGCACAGTCTTTTTTTACTGATAAGTGATATAAAATTCCTTTTGCCCGATGTGCTGCAGATTCACTGCAGTGCACCTCTTCTAACTCTGAATGTATTTCCTGTCTGAAAGCAGAAAAATGCCAGGGGAAAATGGGACAGGATATTGAAATTTCGTTCCCAAGCCTCAGCTTGCAGCGTGGGCTGGTTTCCCTCACTCCTGTTTGAGGTTCCTCAGAGCTGTGCTGAGTGTCTGGCAGGCTTGGTCTCCCAGGATACCCATGGGTGGGCACTTGTATCTATATTTACGCATGGAATTCATATGGATCTCACCAGTGGTGCAACTAAACATCTCTGTAAATCTGACCTCTGAAAATGGGTGAAAAAGGGCTCTGAAAAAGGGCTGGTTTGTATGCTGAATCTTGTGTCCTTTCTTTTTTACCTAGTACCATCTTGTACCATTTTTTGATATCCGCTTTGTTGTTCTAAAGGTTCCAGCTTTCTCAGACTCCTGCTAACCTTTTCCTCCCAGATTATTTAGCAACAAGTCCCACAGATGAATGGTGAAATTTGTCTTTCATAAGCAGATCCAAACGATCAAATTAATGAAGCAAATAGCCCATATTATCTTCGAGTCATGAGAATTTTACAGATTAACAAGTTGCTTTCTATTTTTTTTTGAGCTGTTACCAGTATGCCCGGGTTATTTGTTGAGGTTTATCTTCCCAACCATGATGAATGCTTTTTTTTTTTTTTTTTTTTTTTTTTTTTTTAAAAAAAGGGGATAAGTCTCCA